ATAATAATAATAATAATAATAACAATAATGGAAAATGTCCCAAAATTACTTTTGCTGTGATTTTGCTGTGATTTGGCCCTATACAAATAAAACTGAATTGAACTGAATTGAAGAGTTACAGGCCCATGATCCTAATCATGTCACGCAATATATCTGGTAGAAACAAAAACTGCTACCAAAGGAAAATCCATCATTTAGCTTCTGCTACATCATCACCGGTAAAAGAAAAAGAGGCGTGAGTTTGCCATATCATAAAGGTGCCGAAGAACACAAACACCTAAAATGTGTTTGCTCGGTTCCTCTCCTCGCAGTTTGCCCTTACATCCTTTCTTTGTATGTAGCATGGGCATGACTAAGACACAAGGAAAAGATGCAAGTCAGGGAAACATGGAAGCAATTTGTGAAATCAGGATTCACCATTTGTCCCACTCTCTCTGTGCAAATGATTGCAACCTCTTTAGTGTTTCATACTTTTGTCTGCCGAGAGGTTTTTATAACCTTCGCTTGGTGGCAGGCGAGGCCAATTCATGGACTGCACTTTGACAACACTGGGTAGAGAAGCTGTAATAACAACAAAAGGGCTGTAGGCAGCAGAGTGAAGAAATACAATGTCCTCTCACATTTTCACTTGATTTTTTTAGACAGTGTGCACAATTTTAGTTTTATGCACCTTTAATTTTGGTGTATAAGTTACTGAAGCCTCAGTTTGCAGTTGTGTTTCACTGGAATATACTTTTACTATTCTGTATATAGATACTGTACTGCATCTATGAAGGAAAGGGGAGGCTAAATTTTAGACAACTATTAATACACTGCAGTTCAATAAACTGCCACCACTGGGATTAAGAAGTACCATAGAATTGAGGAGTCTCGTCCCTACTGCTCCTCTCTCCCCTAACAATCTAACAAAACCTTTACTGCCACCCAACTAAATCCCAAAGTAAAGCTTGACAAAAGCCTTCCATTGGTAAACTTAAACCCTACTCACACACACAACCAAGCACACAATTGCAGTGACACACATACATGCAGAGATTTTAAAAATCTCATCTAAATCACACAGCTCTGATGGACTAAGTTGACAGAGGGGGTCTGGAGCCTTCAAGGCAAGCAAAGCACTTTACCCCTCCTTCAGTTTATCTCCACCTCACTCACTTTTTATCACTCTCTTCTTTATAATTCCCTTTTCGTCTCTCCATGCCTTGTCCCCCCACACTTTTCTTCCTATTTGATCTCTTTATGATTCATTAAAAGCCCATGTGGAAAATGTTAATTGTTCTGTAAAACTAAAGAAAGATTCTGTTTTATATTCTGGATCATAGACAGACTGCTGTGTCCTTTTAATTGAACTTGCTGGCTCAAGTTGAGGGATGTGTGCCCAGTGTGTAGTTTGATTTGTAGCTACCTAAAAGCACAACAGAGCACCACAAAAATACTGCATGTGTATAAAATGATGGCATAAACTGTATTCTGCTGGGCAGAAACTGTATGTTAATTGGCACTACACTGAGACTGCACTATGCAAGAACCTGCAACCGACCACAACATGGCTGCTCACACCAAATGTAAACACAAAACCCCCGGCCAGCTGTGTCCGTTAATAACTTCAATAAAATGTATTCAACCAAGACAACCAGGTTCTAGACAGTGTTGACAAAAAGAGAGAAAGCCTGTGTTACTTTGAGGAATTCTCCAGTATCATAAAGAAAAGGTATAAATACGGAGCCACAAATGGCTGGATCATGCAAACAATATGGTTGGTCTATTCTGCAGCAAATTTCAGCTTCAAGACTACATTTCTAACCACAACATGTAAAGTACTACTCCAATAATATTAAAACAAGCTCACTACTCCACTTGAGACACACTAAGGTAAAGTGTAATTGCTTACACTCCAACTTAACATGTAAGTGGTTGAAAGCTGGCCCACGCTACTCACTACACACTCACTAATCATCTCTCATTTTCGATAAAATATAAACACAAATTTAGTATTGTGCATATGCATTAAGCAACATAAAACAGTCTGCTTTAGGTTACCTTAAATGGGAGAGACTTTTCGCTGCAAGGGCTAATGGGTAGAGACTGGAGGCTGCTGGCAGGACTTGTCTCTGTGCTCTGGAAAAAAACAATAAGATATACATAAAAATAACATCAAGATGGGGTTTGTGATATACATTATACATTCTGCTGGTACTGCATAATATCATTTTGATAGGATTAGTCTCCATTAAAACTTGTCTGTAGCTAAAGTATTTGAGCTTTTAAGTCTTGCAAGCTCATTTAATGTGCAGAAAACCTAAGCCGCAAGACAGGTGCTCATTTAATGTGCAGAAAACCTAAGCATAGTAGGAGTTTTACACAATATTTCTGCAAGGCAAAATCTAGTGTCTTAATTAAGGTTTGAGGTACCTTTAGTTCATAAAACTGTTGGATAATTTGTTGCAGAGAACTTGGCCAAATGGCTGTATGAATACTGGTCCTTGTTGTAACTTGTATTTTATCCTCTTGGTTTCATACAAAATCAAATGTTTTCTAATGCCAGCTGTGATTAGACACATCTTGGCTCTGCTCCTCGACACAGGTGTCTAGTGAGCCGAGAAGAGGGGCAGCTAGAAGGGGTTCCAAAACAAACACACATACAGCAAGTTTCAGAGAGGGCTGCTTTCATGCAACATGATGCAGACGAACATCACACACACACTCCATAAAAAGAGCAGACGCTGGTCTAAATGTCACCTGTGTGGGCTTATGATAGGACAGATGGGAAAGAGGATAAAACCACGTCTTCAGCCAAAACTGTTGATAGTCATACAATGCAGCATAGCACAGTAATGACATCACGCACAAGAAGGATATGACAATGACAAAGACGTGATAAGGAACAAGGAAAGGTAACGTGAAGTATAAACCAACTACACATTCCACGCACTTGTTTTTTTTGGTAAGGTCTATTTCTTGCCATATGCTGCCCTCTTGCAGTTTAATATGCAAGCCAGCCCTGTGTTATTTGAGATAGATGGCCATACGTCCAATCAAGATTCCCAAAAAAAGGTGCTTTTTAGGCTAAAATCCTGGTTGGCTTCATGTATTTTTTGCCAACTTTTAGGTTTTGAAGATAGCTCTGAGAAACACCAGACCGAGTCTTTGCACAACATAAACTTGATGGTTTATTGGTTTGGCTGACCTTTTAAAAAAGCATACCTCCCTCTCAGAATTATAGGTATACTATGGCGTCAGGCCCTTAATGTGTCGTCAGTGATCAATGCCTTTCCCTATGTAGAGAGGCAGGCACACAGTCAATGACAACCCCACACACACACACACACAC